AATTAATTAATTAATTAATTTTTAAAAAAACAGCAATAAAATCATGCCCCAGGTCTCCGTCCTAAGGATCTTACAGAAAGCCGTGGCTCTTCCCCTTGATGCTTTCTGTCCTGAATGTGCTTTATTTTTCTCCATAGCATTAATCACCTCCTGCGTTAAATTTATTAACCTGTAATCTTTGATCTCCTTCACTAGAATTCTTTTTTTTTTTTTTTTCTGTCTTTTTGAGACAGGGTTTTGCTACGTAGATCAGATTAGGCTTGAAGTCACTTTGTAGCCCAGGCTAGCCTTGAATTTACAGTGGTGCTCCAGCCTCAGTCTTCTGAGTGCTGGGATTACAGCCATACACCACCACATCGTTTACCCTCACTAGAATTTAAGCTCCATAGAGCAGGAGTCTGTGCTTTTGCTCCGATGCTCGTAGTACGTGTTCAATAGGGATTTATGCAGATTCAAGTTTTCCATTTTCATCAAGCCATGCTGGTGCCCACCACGTTGATAACCGTACAATGACAAGGGCAGTTAATTTCTCCAGAGCATTTCCTAGGAGTAGGAACTTTGGGAACATCATCTGTGACAAAGGTCACCGCCTTTAATTCTGGAAATAAAGGACTATGGTCAGCTCAGAGAAGTCAAGCAACTTGTCTGAGGCCACGCAGGATAGACGGCACCGGAGGATCAATTCAAGCCGTTTGCCTGACTGCAGGGCAGCGCTCTTAAGCCCGAGCCTTGTGTCACAGAAAGCAAAACTACTTGAAATGGGAGCCACCCGGGGAGCTCTGGGCGCCAGGCGAGAGCGCGGCCTCCCACGTGCCGGCGTCCCGCCCCACTAGGCTTTGATCTTAGCGCTGCCGGTGCCCCGCTGACCCGCTTGTGAGTTATGGGGGCTGCGGGACCCATAACCCAGCATTCCCGTACTCCCGGGGTCGCCAGGACGCGGCGCCCCGCGTGGTGATGGATGAGCCTGCCTGGCTTTGTCGTTATTGGGTCGAGAAACTCCAGGACGGGGCGTGGCAACAGGCGGGCCGCGTGTGTGTGTGTGTGTGTGTGTGTGTGTGTGTGTGTGTGTTGGCCTGTATTCTTTCTTCCAGTTGAGGGCAGGGAGGGGTTGCCGCAGGTGCGCCGTCGGCGGCCAGGTGAGGTGTGTCGCTTTGGAGGCCCCCTGTATCCCCACAGCCACGAGCGATTTCTCGGAGCACCACCCCCACTTGGCGCACTTTCGGAGGCTACAAAGCCTGGCCGCCTCTCCCGCCCCGGGCATTTCTTCCGTCCCATTTGACAGCCTAGGCGGAATAATCCTTTTGGGGACCGGGCGGCCCCTGCCCAGCCAGACTCCACAGCAGCTGAGCGAGCAGCCTCGATCCATTGTTGGGGTCCGCCAGGGACCCCCCGCCGCGCCCCTTTGTCGCCCGCGCCTCGCGGGGCAGCTCCAGATGCGCCACCTCTGCTCGCGCCCCACCCGTCCCGCGCACCCCGGGGCCCCACCGAGGCGGCTCTTACGCACCGGGAAGAGGGGACCCGCCTCGCCCGGTGCCCGCACGGCCGCGGGGCTGCGCCCGCCTTTGTCTGGCTCCTTTGTCTGCCCCGCGCCCTCGCGGCGGCTGCGGCTGGGCCTCCGGGGAACCGGCCCCAAACGCCGAGTGCAGCTGGCGAGGGCGCGCTGGCCGGGAGCGCGCGGAGCCCGGCCCGGCCAGGGCTGCCCCTTGGTGGGGGGCAGTGAGCCCTCAGCCCGGCGCCCCTCCTCCGCCTGCGGCTGGGCCTCCGGGGAACCGGCCCCAAACGCCGAGTGCAGCTGGCGAGGGCGCGCTGGCCGGGAGCGCGCGGAGCCCGGCCGGGCCAGGGCTGCCCCTTGGTGGGGGGCAGTGAGCCCTCAGCCCGGCGCCCCTCCTCCGCCCCTCCCCGCGCCCGCCCCCTTCCCGCGTGCCCGCCCCCTCCTCTTCCTCCCAGCCCCGCGCCGCACGGGCGCATCCTCCTGCTGCCCGCGCACCTCTCGGAGCAGTCGGTCCTAGTCCCGCCGCTCGGCCGGCTGCCCCGCGCCTCTCGGCCCCCTCCCTGCGGGCCGGACAGGTAAGGCCCGGCCTCCGCCCGCCCCCGGCCCCGCCCTCGCCTCACCTGGCTGCACGCCCAGACAAAGGTGGGCTACCTGGCGTGCGAGGGGCGCGGTGGGGCGGGGCAGCGGGCGAGGCCGGGGTTGAAGACGCGGCTTTCCTTCGGTCCTCCGCTCTGTCAGTCGGTGTGCCCGCCACCATCCGGCCTGCTGCCGCTGCTCCCCGCCGCGTGTTCCCTCGCTTTCTGGCCCTGTCCCCGGCCTCTCCGGCCAGCGATCCCTGGACGCCCACTTTGCATGCTCGAACCCTCGGTCCCGCAACCTCGCACAGCCCCGGATCTCGGCCTCCCCCCGCCCCCTCGGCACTAGCCTCCTCCCTGTGGGACCCGGTATCTCTTTGTCTCTCAGTCTCTGGGTGGTCTCGGGCCGGGGGTCCCCCAATCCGCTGCCGTTGGAAGTAAATTGGAAGGCTCCCTGAGCCCGGACGGCTCTGAAGGGAGAGCAACTGGCCCTCTTCGGGGCTGCCTGGGGGACCCGGTATGTCTGGGGGGCGCTGAGTGAGCCCCGCACCCTCCCACCCCGACGGCACCAGGCTCTTTCCTCTGAGCTTGGGTTGGGTCCCGGTTGCCCGCTTCTCTGAGTTGGCGCATCAGGGACTCCAGTGCCTTTCCGAAGCGAGGTGTGAGATCAGAGGGCGCCCGGTTTCCCGCCAAGTGCTCTTCGCCGACCTTCGAGGGTGCTCCCCGGCCTTCGCCTCCCTCGGGTGGTCGCCCTCGCGCGCCGCCCTCCTCGCGCGGACCGGACTAGTACCGTTTCCCGAGGGTCAGGCGCACAGGGCTTCTTGGACAAAGGAATGCATGTCTCGGAGCCTCAGTGTCCCCGTCGTAAAACGGGGACAATAGGACCGACCTATAGGGATGCATGGGGGAAATATCAGTAAAACCAGTCGGTGCCCTTTGGTGCAGGTGATGGAGGAGAGTCCGCATCCTCGGGTGGAGCAGGGGTACGACTTCACAGAGACCGCCCCGAATTCCGAGCCACCAACCTCGGTCCCTCCCCCTTCACACTGCATGCCCCCCCCCCAACCACACTCTACCGGGCCATCTCTCCCTCTTCCTAAAATCAAGAGTTTCAAAACCAAGGCGAGCAGGGTCTGTGCTCGCCCCGAAAAGGTCAGTGCGTCTCGTCGGTGTTGCTGTCGCTGGCTGTCCCTCAGGAAGCATCCCCGTCCCTCAGCCCGGGTGATTCTGAACCTTTCTGAGTGTGCTCTCTCACGAGCGCTTCTGTCCCCTCTGGGGCATTGTCTGTCAGCCCATTCCGGACCTGCTATGTAATTAATTGCTCTGGTGTCCCGATGTCCTGACCTTCATCGGTGTCATCAGGACAGGTGACACCGCACCCCAGGAAGCTGTCGGAGACGTGGAATAAGTGGCTCACTGAGAGCCACTGGGGGGCGAGGGGGGAAGGAGGAGGAGGAGGGAAACCTCGGAGCCGGCAGGTGCCCGGCTGCCCCGGCAGCTGAGTTTTTGTTTCAGCCACCGCCTGGCAACTGGAGCGTTTCTTCTTAGGCAGGGGTGCAGCTGGGGACCTCGCCACCCTCACCCCCACCCCCACACACAGCCTTCCCACTGTCATTGCCCCCGATTCTCGGGCCACAGAGCCTGCTGCAGAAAGCCAACCCTGCAGCAGTCCCTGAACTCCGGGAGCTTGCCCGCACCTTTCACCTTCCGTGCGCCCTCCTCCCCGCGCCTTTCTTTCTAGCTCCCCAATGGCTTCCCGTGGCCTGTGAATTAACTGGAGACCCCGGCTTCCTGCCTGCCCTCGAGCCCCGGTCTGTATCCTCGGGCAGATCAGCTCCACCTTCCCGCCCTGACTTCCTCTGAGCTTTCGCTAGGGCTCTGACCTCTATCTGAGGCGTCTCTCCGACCCCGTTCCATTCAAGCCTCCCTTTCTTGCTGGCGGAGGCACTGTCCTGTTGGCAGCCTCCTGCTCCGCCTCACCCCGCGTCCCTCTGAATCTCTCCGCTCGTCTCATGACTCATCTTGGAAAGCTGCTGCGGGTCCCCCGGGGTGTGGACTGGGCCTCCTTCCCTGCGGTCCCAGATCCTGCCGAAAAGTAGGCGCTCAGACTTATCGTACGTGGGCGTCCTTGGCCCAGGGGCCGGAATGAATGGGAAGCTGTAAGCCCTAGCTTTCCCCTCTGGGTTCCAGAGGACCATGTTGACCAGGCAGGGAGCAGAGTTGGTTGCAGGCCTCCCTTGTGTGGGCCAGGAGTGTGATGGCACTCACTGTGGACAGGGATGCACCCTTGCCTGCCCTGTCCTGGTCCTCTGGGTCAGGCCTTGCTCTCTCCCTCTGCCCTTCCTCTGCGTCTCTTCCTGGGGCTGGGGCTGGGTCTTTTGCCCTGGGACAGCAGATCCTCCTGGAAAGGTAGTTGAATGCTTAGCACCAGCAGGCCCAACGCTGGAGCCTGGCATTGGCCACATTGTATATGTTCTGTATGGGGTAAGGGCTGGACTGATTGCATGGCCCGTGGTCTATGGCGCTGCTTTCTGTGCCAGGCTCTGGGTGGTGCTCTCAGCATGTCACCTGCAGCAGCAGCTGAACTGGGATGACTTACTGAATGGTAGCATGAGCAGTGGTCAAAGTCACCTGAGATCCTTGGTTATGGGTTCAGATCCCAGCTCTACCAGTTGCTGTACTGTGTGACTTGGGTGAGTCCCTTATGGTGATTTTCTTTTTTTATACTGGGACTTGAACTCAGGCAAGACTTGTACTTGCCAGGCAGGCCCTGTGCCACCGAGCTATATCCCCAGCCCCT